TTTCTCTTACATTACATCATTTGAGTTTTTATGAGTCCTCTGTGTGTGATTTTCAAGCTCGAGTAGTTCTTTTCTTGCCTTCACTGTCAACCCAACCCCATTTACTTATTATTTTCGAGTTATGCTTCATAGTAAGGTTGATTTTCATTTTCTACTGAATATTTTGAGCTTTAAATTGCAATGTAGGTGTGGGATTGAGTCCATTAGTTGATATTGTATGTTAGATTTCATTGGGTAGCTTTCTTCTATGTGTATTGAACTGTACCCATGAGTCATTTGCATGTGTTTGCCTGTAGAATGATTATCTTGGTTGTGTTGGTTGAATTGTGAAATTCAAATGATAGTTTTGCTGGATCTAAGCCTTATTTGATGCGGGTGAAGTTTGAGTACCCCAGTGGTGACCTAATTGCATGATTTGGCCCAATGATAGATAGGGTGACTACTTTCTTAAGGGAAAATCATCAATTTGAGCAATACTTAGCTAGATCTGGGGGAAGTCAGAGTACCCATGAGTAGATGAACATATAGGTGGATATTAATGATGTTAGGGAACTTGTTTTATTACGTATGTTAAGTTTAGTTGTAAAAATTAGGCATTGGGGTGAATACTACTTGTTAGGCAGGCTTGTCTTAGCTCACCAAGGAGGTTAGACGAATCACTGAATAAGCCCCAACTCGCCTCCTTTAAAATAGATGTGACCTTGGGTGTTGTTCCATTCGGTGGGCTTGTCTTCATCCGCCAAACCCACTTGGCGAATCACCGAGTGGGAGTGGATATCACCCTTGAGGCCTATTTCTTTTCAAATTACACTATCAGTTTTGGTGGACTTATCTTATCCCGCCGAAATCAACTTGACGATTCACCGAGTTGGAATTGATTCTGCCATTTGTTCCTGGTTCTTGTGATTCTGCTACTGTCTAATTTGGCGAGCTCACCTGAGCTTGCCAATCCTGTTAAGCGATATGCCTTCCCATTAAGCGATTAACTAATTTTTGGAATGAGTTTGATTTCAACTAAACTTCACAAATCTATGTTTGAATATGTTCTTTGCAAGTAATGGCTCAAAGAAAAGGTAAGCAAATGGTTACATCTGACACATAGTCATATAAAGACTCCCCTCCTCCTCCTCCTCTAAAGAGACACATGAGTGTTTCTAAAAACGAGCCATCTGAGGATCCTTGTCGTCAAGAACCTACCACTCCAAAAGAATCTACCCAAGTGAGGGTGCAAACCTCAAAGGGGTTTGTAAGGAAAAGAACAGAAATCTGTCCCAAACCAGTGCAAGGTAACACCTCAAATTTAGAAAGAGAGAGAAACTTTAGTCCTTCAGAAAATCTTTTTCTGGTGCTAGTTCCGATGAAGCCACCTACGACCCGTGGACTGACACACGGACCGCAGGCCAGCTCTATGGTGGGCTAGCCCAGGTTCCCAAAAATGATAAGTTTTAGTACTTTTTCGACGATTCACCAGGATGGTCCACCATTCAATGCACGAGCCGTAGGTAGGTCTTGTAGGTGAGTCCCAGACTTAGAGAAATTCTAGGGTCAAAATTCAAGACCCACGATCGAACCCACAACCTGTCGATAGATCACGGCCCGTGGGTGTGTCTTGTCATTCAAGGCCAAAAAGCTGGTCTCTGAACACCAAACAACGACCAACCAGTACGGTCCTTGGTCTGACCAACGGACCGTAGGTCGTGCCATCAATAAGTGTCGACAATTATTTTCTTAGGGGTTTTGGGGTCTTTTCCTAATTTTTCTAACCTAATACTATGTCGTTTTACCATTCACCTAAAGCCCTATATAAGTATTTTTATCACCAAATTTCCCAAATTTAAATCATTCTCTCAAATTCCTAAAAGAAGAACAGGTTTTCCTCTCCAAAATATTTCTCTTTCTAGAAAGCTTGAAGAAGAAGGAGTCAACCTAGGGTTTCAATTCAAGCCTCTAATTTCACTATTGATGGCAAGCTTTTGGCATTGAGGTATGATAATTTTCATCCATGGAGCCCCTTCCTGTATGGAGTTCCTAAATTCTCCAATTTACAAAGTTAGAAATCCCCAATTGAGTTAGGGTTTTTCTTTCATGTCATGGGTTCCTTTTAATGTTGATTTACTTAATTAATTTATGAAATTTTATGCATGACTTGATATAATCTAATGATTTTAAGATGAATCCCCACGAACCCATTCTTAACCCATGTTTTTAGATAGTGATGATTGAAAGTGGGTTTTGAACTATGAAAGGAGAATTATGGAATTATGTATGTTCTATGGAATTGATGATATATGATGTATATTGCTTTGAGAGTAAAAGTATATATGTTGTTGTTATGGTTAACTGTTTTGAAAGGATTGCTCTACTTCATGGATGAATGTGAAAGGTTTTCTCACATAAAGGATTCTAAGGTTGAAAGGTCTTCTCACCTAAAATGAATCAAAGTTAACGAGCTATTCTAATGAAACCTAGCTTGAATTGATAACTTAATTGTGCCTTTCCATGGATGACATATGACTAAGCTTGGATCGGCAATACAACGTGCCCTTCCATGGATAATAAGAACAAGTTAAGAAAATGACTATTCCTTGAGATTTATGCTTAGCACCGAGAGGATATGGAGATGAGAGCTCTCCTGTAAGTAGAGGTCAGGTTTCTAGTAGCAATCTCTTTATCTCATACCTATGTGCCCCCATAGGATTATTTTCTTAGATAGACATTAGCTTGTGGATCCACACAAGCTAGAAGTTCATGGTCTTACCTTGGCAAGTAGACACCCCTTTTTGGTGTGGGGGTAGACACCGCATTCAATGTTGATAGCTCAACTGGTCCTATATGTCGGTTAAAGGTAAATCTCCCACAATAATGAACTAAGGTTACTTCAAGAAGTATCTCACAAGTGATTTAAGATGATGTCTATTTGCGTTGACCATGTATTATGACTAATGTCTTTTATCCTTATTATATCATGATTTAGCTTTGTCTTTGCATACCATCAAGATATCTCCTTTAAGCATGTTTTCAAATGTTTTATGCATGGCGATCATACTTGGTACATATTTTGTAGTAACGCATACTCTTGCCTACATTTTACCTAAATATAGGGACCGACCTTACAGATTCGCACTTCCATGGCTAGTGATCTCATATAGAAGATTGAAGATTGGTGAGTCCTCATATTCCAAAGATTGTAGATCGGATGACGAAATTGGCTTATTTTATTCCCATCAAGGTTTCTTATTGGGTGGAGGACTATGCCAAGTTGAATTTTAAGGAAATGGTTAGGTTGCATGGAGTGCCCTTATCCATTATCTCCGATCGTGGTACCCAATTCACTTCTCAGTTTTGGAAATCCTTCAAAAAGGGTTTTGGTACTCGTGTTAAGCTTAGTACAACCTTTCACCCAAAAACTGATGGGCAATCAAAGTGTACTATCCAAACTTTGGAAGATATGTTGAGAGCATATGTAATTGACTTCAAGGGTAGTTGGGATGATAACTTGCCTTTGATTATGTTTGCGTACAATAATAGCTATCACTCAAGTATTGGTATGGCTCCATTTGAGTCTCCATATAGGAGGATGTGTAGATATCCTATAGGTTGGTTTGAGGTGGGTGAGGTCGCCTGGATAGGTCTTGAATTTGTACATGAGGCTATGGAGAAAGTTAGGATTATTAGAGAAAGGTTGAAAATGACTCAACGTCGACAAAAGTCCTACGCCTATGTGAGGAGTAGAGAATTTGAGTTTGAGGTAGATGATTGGGTCTACTTGAAAATTTCACCCATGAAGGGTGTAATGAGATTTGGGAAGAAAGGGAAGCTTAGTCCCCGTTATGTGGGCCCATATAGGATTCTGATGAATTGGCAAGGTCGCTTATGAACTTGAATTTCCTAGTGAGTTGGCATTAGTACATCCAATTTTCCATGTCTCCTTGTTGAAGAAATGTGTTGGATATATGACATTTATAGTTCCCTTAGAAGGTTTGTGAGTTAAGGAGAATCTTTATTTTGAGGAAGTTCTGGTTGAGATTTTAGACCGTCAAGTTAATAGGTTGAGAAATAAAGAAGATGCTTCTGTGAAAGTTCGTGGTCTTACCTTGGCAAGTAGGACACCCTTTTCTGCTATTGGGGTAGACACCGAATTTCGTGTTGATTGCTCACATAATCTTATATGTCGGTTAAAGTTAAATCTCCCACAATAATGAACTAAGGTTACTTCAAGAAGTATCTCACAAATGTTTTTAAGATGATTTATATTTGCATTGACCATGTTTTTGACTTACGTCCTCTAATCCTTTTTATATCATGTTTTAGCTTCGTCACTATATCTCATGAAGATATCCCTTTTTAAACATGTTTTAAAATGTTTTATGCATGGTTATCATACTTGGTACATATTTTGTACTAACGCATACTCTTGCCTACATATCCTCAAATGTAGGGATCGACCTTACAGATTTGCACTTCCGTAGCTAGGCATCCCATATAGAGTATTGTAGATTGGTGAGTCTTCATATTCCGAGGACCTAGCTTGATTCCCTTATTGTTTTTAATTTCATTTTTGGAACTTGATGTATTGGCTATGCCATGATAAATTTGTATGTACTAGATGGCTTTGAGACGATGTGTAGACTTATGCTTTTCTGTATAGTACTTTTATTTGTTGAAACTATCTTTAAAATCTCTTGATTTCTATAATCTTATATGATGTATGCTAAGTGGCTTGTATGGGGCCTCTTGGGGTCTTAAATGTCATGTTACACCTAGGAGATACCTTGGGTCGTGGCAAACTTGGTAACCAAAGCACAAGGTTTAGAATTGTCCTATAAGTCTCATAAGCTACGTCGAGTAAAGTCTTGTTCATGAGTGTGAAGAGCACCACATTTACAAATGAGAGGCTATAATATGTTTAGGAAACTTCACTTCTTCCACTACTCTAAAGTCGTGCGATAGATTTCAACTCCATAATGTCTCTCTCCTAAATCTTATCTGTTGTTCTATAGTATATGGCCACTCGAAGGGCATATGCTAGAAGGAATGCGGGAGAGAATATGAATCAAGAGGCTCCTTCTGAAGCTCCTCAAGTTTGGGTCGATCCTTTGGCAGTTCATGTATTGGCTCAAGTCATGACAGCCTAATCCAATAGGGAGGTTAGGGTCCCCATGAACCCTAATGTGGGTACGACGACATCTAGAGTGAGGACTTGACTAGAATGAATCCTCCGGAGTTTCATGGATCTAAAGTTGAGGAAGATTCTTAAGAGTTTATTGATGAGGTATATAAGGTGTTGATGATCATAGGAGTGACGCCGAAAGAAAAGGTAGAGTTAGTCACTTATCAACTTAAGGGTGTAGCTCAAGTATGGTTCAACCAATAGAAAGAAGGGAGAGTGGAAGATGCAGGTCCTCTTAATTGGGAAAAGTTTAAAGTTGATTTCCATGATAGGTTTTTTCCCCTTGAGATGAGGGAGGCAAACGTGCTTGAATTCATCAACTTTTGTCAAGGGAGTAAGAGTGTAAAGGAATATGCATTGAAGTTCACACAATTATCTTGATATGCTCCTACTATGGTTGTCGATCCTAGGGCAAAGATGAGTACATTTGTTTCGGGTGTGTCCGAGATGGTAGTTAAGGAATGTCGTACCGCTATGTTTGTCAATGATATAAAATTTTATCGTCTTATGGTTTATACTCAACAAATCAAAGAGGAGAAATTTAAGGAAAGATCTAGGGAGGCAAAGAGGGCTAAGAGCGGTAATGGTAACTTCTCACATTCAAGGTCTGATGGACATGGTCGTTCTAAGTTTTGACAAAGGTTCTCCAACCAAGGTTCCTCCAATGCTCCTTCTAAGTTCAACAAAGATAGGGTGCCTAACCCTAAGCCTCAATAAGGAAATAGTGGTGGATCTTCATTGCCTATGTCTACTTGTGCTAGGTGTGGAAAAAAGCACGAGGATAAGTTCTTAGCTGGAATGGATGGTTGCTTTGGTTGTGGTAAAAGTAGTCATAAGATGAGGGATTTCCTGATGCTTATGGCCACAAAAAGAGAGGGTAAGCAAGCTTCTCCTAGTGTTTCGGGTTCCAATGCTCCCAAGCAAAACTGATTCTATGCACTTCGGACGCGTGGTGAACAAGACGATTCTCCCGTTGTGGTTACCGATATGTTGAAAGTCTTCTAACTTGATGTTTATGCTTTAATTTACCCCGGTGCTACATTGTCTTTTGTGATGCCATATGTGGGTATGAGGTTGGATATTCTTTCGGATGTGTTGTTAGATCCTATTTTTGTCTCTACTCCGATTGGTGATTCTATTGTGGCTAAGAGGGTCTATAGAAGGTATCCCGTCTCCTTGTCCCATAGAGTCATTCTTGTTGACCTTGTAGAGATTGATATGCTAGATTTTGACGTTATCCTTTGTATGGATTGGATGCATGCATGCTATGCTTCTATTGATTGTAGAACCTGTGTGTCAAGTTTTAGTTTCCAAATGAATCTATCCTAGAGTGGAAAAAGGGAAATTCTATGCCTAAGGGTCAGTTTATCTCTTGTCTTAAACCTAGAAAGATTATTTCTAAGGGCTAAATTTACCATTTAGTTAGGGTGAGGGATATAGATTCTGAGAACCCTACTCTTGAGTTGGTCCCCCTCATAAATCAGTTTCCGGAAGTGTTTCCTGATGATTTACTCTATATTCCTCCGCAAAGGGAAATAGACATTGGTATTGACCTTCTCCTAGATACGCAACCTATCTTTATTCCTCCTTATCGTATGGCTCTGGAAGAACTTAAGGAATTAAAGGACAAATTGAAAGATTTGTTGGATTTGGGTTTAATCCAACCAACTATCTGTCCATAGGGTGCTCCAGTTTTATTTGTTAGAAAAAAAGATGGTTCGCTACGTTTGTGTATTGACTACCGACAATTGAATAAGGTTACCGTTAAGAATAGGTACCCGCTACCAAGGATAGATGAATTGTTTGACCAACTACAAGGAGCAAGTTACTTTTCGAAGATTTACCTCCGGCCAGGTTATCAGCAATTGAGGGTGAAAGATGATGAAATTCCAAAGATGACTTTCTAAACTCGGTATGGTCATTATGAGTTTTGAATAAGGTTGTTTGGTTTGACTAATGCTTCGGGGGAATTTATGGGTTTGATGAATATGGTGTTTAGACAATACCTTGACATGATTATGACTATACTCATTGATGATATATTGGTCTATTTGAGGAGTGAAGACGAGCATACCAATCATTTGAGGATCGTGTTGCAAGTCCACAACTCATTGCAAAGTTTAGTAAATGTGAGTTCTGGTCAAGGTCCGTGGCTTTTCTTCGGCATTTGTTTTTTGGTAAGGGTATTGAGGTAGATCCTAATAAGATGGATGCGGTCAAAAGTTGGCCTAGACATCTAACCCTTCAGATAGGTTTTTTGAGAGGTTCTCTTCGATTGCTTCTCCATTGACGGCATTGAATCAAAAGAAGTTTAAGTTCATATGGTCTTAAGCCTGTGAAAAGTGTTCTCAAGAATATAAAGATGGATTTACTTCCACTCCGGTGTTGACTTTGTCGTAAAGGACAAATGGTTTTGTCGTTTATTGTGATGCATCTAGAATTGGGTTAGGATGCGTATGCCAAATGGGAAATTCATTGCTTATGCTTCAAGGAAACTTAAGATTCATGAAAACAATTATAGACCCATGACCTTGAACTAGCGGCGGTTGTTTTTGCCTCAATGATTTGGAGGCATTTTTTGTATAGTGTTCATATGGATGTCTTTACCGACCACAAGAGTTTCTAATACGTGTTTAATCAGAAAGATCTAAATCTTCACCAGAGGAGCTGGCTTGAATTATTGAAATATTATGGCATGAGTGTTCTCTATCATCCTGCTAAGGCAAATGTGGTGGCAGATGCCCTTAGTCAATTATCGATGGGTAGTGTTGCTCATATTGAGGATGATAAAAGAGAGTTGATACAAGATGTTCATAGATTGGCTCGATTGGGTGTTCGGTTAGTTAACTCTACAAAGGGTGGCTTTATGGTTCAGAATCGTCTTTTGTGTCAGATGTGAAAGCCAAGTAAGGTCTGGACCCGACGTTGGTAGAATTAAAGGAAGCGGTGCTTAAAAAGTTTGTGGAGGCTTTCCCCCAAGGGGGAGATGGTGTACATAGATATCAAGGTGATTTGTGTGTTTCTAATGTTGATTACTTGAGAGAAAAAATCATGTCAAAAGCCACCAAGATGTATTGTGACTCTCGGGAGATCTATTGGTGGAAGGGGATGAAGAAGGATATTGCGGAATTTGTGGCTAAATGTCCTCATTTTCAACAAGTGAAAGTTGAGCATCAAAAGCCGAGAGGTTTATCCCAAGACATTAGTATCCCTACTTGGAAGTGGAAAGAGTTAAACATGGACTTCATTGTTGGTTTACCACGCACCCGGCGACAATATGACTCGATTTGGGTTATTATTGATCGGATGACGAAATTAGTTCATTTCATTCCCATCAAAGTTTCTTATTCAGTGGAGGACTATGCCAAGTTGTATTTGAAGGAAATTGTGAGGTTGCATAGAGTTCCCTTATCCATTATCTCCGATGGTGGTACTCAATTCACTTTTCAATTTTGGAAATGACTCCAAAAGGGTCTTGGTACTCGTGTTAAACTTACTACGAATTTTCACCTATAACAATAGTTATCATTCTAGCATCTAGATGGCTCCTTATGAGGCTCTTTATGGGAGAAGATGCAGAACTCCTATTGGATGGTTTGAGGTTGGTAAAGCTGGGTTGATAGGACCAGACTTAGTTCATCAAGCTATGGAGAAGGTGAGGGTTATTCAAGAAAGGGTGAAAATAGCGCAGAGTTGTCAGAAATCCTATACATATGTTAGGAGAAGAAACTTAGAGTTTGAAGTAGATGATTAGGTTTATTTGAAGGTTTCAACCATGAAGGGTGTTACGAGATTTGGCACGAAGGGGAAGTTTAGTCCCCGGTATATTGGTCCTTGCAAAATATCCAAGAGGATCAGTAATGTGGCTTATGAGTTGTAGTTACCGCAAGAGTTACCAGTGGTTCATTCGGTATTTCACATTTCCATGTTGAAAAGTGTTCGGGCGATCCTTCACATATCATACCTACTGAAGATATTGGTATTCAGGATAGTTTATCTTACAGGGAGATTCTTGTTCAAATTCTAGATCGTCAAAAGTTCGCAATTTGAGGACCAAGGAAGTAGCATTAGTCAAAGTTCTATGGAGAAATCAGTTTGTTCAGGAAGCTACTTGGGAAGCTAAGGAGGACATGAAGAAGAGATACCCACATCTCTTTGAGTCCGGAGAAATTACAAATTAAGGTACTAATCATTTTCTTGGCATTTACTTTAAGTTGACTTGTTGTGTTTTCATTTTTCTTGTTGAGTGTTTAAGTTGGATGTTAGATGTTACACCCTTAGCCTACTAAGGGTATTCTCATTTGAGGACAAATGTTCCCAAGGGTTAGATATTGTAACACCCCGCTATTTGAAAGAGCTAGAATTAGAAAGAACCATTTTTGGAAATAATGAAAATCTGAAATTTGGCAAGTATGTTAAGTATGAGTTTGGGTAAATTTCAAACGACCATAACTCTCAGTACATGATGAGTTAGGTGTGCCATAAGATATCAAATGAAAGGTCTTGGAATAATCTTTCCGATGCACTCGAGTTTACTAGTTTTTGAGCTCATATGAGGGAGATATGCCCGTTTGAAGTTGGGCTGTCTTGATAAGGAAACTCAACCGAATTTTAGATGGGGATTTTGGTCTTTTCATTACCCAATTAATTTATTTTGTTTTTAGGAATTTATTTGGGGTCAAAACTGAGTTAGTTCAATTTACGCATTCCAAAATAATGTCAGGGCTTTGAGAGAAGAGAAAGAGGAGAAAAGAGGAGAAAAGGTCAAGTTTTCGTCAAGATAATAAGATTTCATAGTGGATTTCTCCAATGGTCGATCCCTAAAGAGGTATGTGAAACTTTCATAGCGTTGGGTTCGTTCACCCACCCACCAATCATGTTTATTTTAGTGAAATTCGTTCTAGAAAGTTGAAAGTATGATGTTCTTGAATTGTGTTCTTGAAATTGGCTTTCGTTCTTGAGTTT